GGTACATGGACCCTTAGGGTTTGCCCGAGACTAGAAATCCCTCAACTCGACCAGGCTGAGATCGGCACTGGCCAGAGCCAGCCCTGGATCCACAGCCGGCATTCCACCGGCAATCTGGGCTGAGCTCCGGTTTCCGAGGTTCTAGGGCTTTAGGTTTTTTTTAGGGTTTAGGGCCAAACTTAGGGTTTAGGGTTTTAGGTTCTTTTAGGGTTTAAGTCATCATAACGGGGTTTAGGCGTTTTGAGTGAGAGGTGACATATGTTGCACATCGCGCCACCCAAAGCTTAAGCAGCAAAGACATGCGACATGTGGACGGACAGATCACACTCAACGGGTTACGGTGGCTTGCCGTGAAAATATTATGGGATTAACTTCGCTGCCGACAAGGGCATCGGGGGCATCGTACAAACACAAGCCTCATACATACGCACATTTGGAAATCTTACATAGATTGAAAATGAAAGTACGTCCGTAAGTAAATGTATGCAAGGCCATTGCGAAAGCGCATGCTTGATGAACACGTACATGCCCACATACATACATAATTAGATACAAACAGACAGACAGGCAAACACACCAAAAACAACACAACAAACACAAAATAATACATACACAAATGCACACATACAAACACGCGCACACACACACACGCGTATGTATACATATATATATATATACACACACACATGAATATGTGTGTATATATATATACATACACCTACACACACCCATTTTACATGAATTATACATACAATCATGCATGCACACTTACTTTCTTTATTACTTACTTACATATACTTATTCTTATACTTACACTTATGCTTAAACTTATGCTTTTACTTGTACTTGTACTTTTGCTTGTACCTGTTGACTTACTTACACAAATGCACACATACTTACATGCATATGTACTTACATACACACCGCGCACACAGGCATGCCGGAAGACAGACAGAGATGCGCTCCCCCCCTCGAAACCCTAAACCCCTAAACCCTAAACCCTAAACCCCTAAACCCTAAACCCTAAACCCCTAAACTCTAAACCCTAAACCCGGCATCACTTGAGGCCAGGTCGCTAAGGCTTGAGAGTGGCAGAAGAACATCGTTTGCCCCGCTCCCCAAGGTTTCCCTAACCCCCCACCAGGTACCTACTATATAGGGTGCTAGAGCCCCTAAGGCCCTATATAGTAGGTACTTCAGGGGTATTAGGGTTTCTTAAGTATACGCAGCTGTTCCCTGTTGTGGCGCCAAGAAGATCATCTGAAAGTCATCTGACTGGGCTCAACTCTGAAGCGGAAGCCCCTGACTTACTGAACCCGAGTTCCTCATCTCTTGCAATGGCAGGTCGCCGACAGCAGTGCAGAAAGAACGGCAAGCCTCGGCTTGGCCCAAACTTTACTTTAGACACCTCAGGACGCCTGGAGGCACTTGACTACTCAGGCTCCTAAGGTTTAGGGTTTAGGGTAGAAGTTTCCTGTCCTAATCTGTTGCGAATGCAAGCGCCATACCTTGCGAGGTGGTTTAAGATGTGTCACTCGACATAGTTTTCGGAGGCGGGCTCAACCGAAATTGAGGGTGTTCAAGGCCCATGGAATTTATATGATATCATGCACTTGAGTCTCGAACTGTTTGAACCGCGAGCAATCAATCCGTCGATCACCGATGCTTAGGTGGTTCCGGGGTTTGGGCTAGCTAAAAAGCTAGACCCTAAACCCTAGACGCTTGAGCCTGAAATCAAATACCTGGCAAAAGCAGTAAAAGCCTTAAGCCCTGGCGGATATCACGGGGACTATTTCAGGGGACGGGTCCAGAAAGTTCGGCTTTCCACGTTTTGGTTTTCAGGGGTTTCGTGTAGGGTTTAAGATTTGGGGGGTTAGGGATTAGGGATTAGTTCTAAACCCTAAACCCTAAACCCTAAACCCTCTCGGCCTGTGAGCAACTGAAAGCTCTAAGTGCTGGGCGCTCCCAAGGTTCCATGTACCCATATAGTATATACTTTTGGGCCTTAAGGTAGTCCCTTTGTAGGTACTTTGGGGCCAAAGTATACAGAATTCGGGTACATGGACCCTTAGGGCTTGTGCCGGGCCCGAATATAAGATAGAAACCAACATAGAACTTGTGGTAAACCTTCAGCCAACCTGCTCAGGGAACGCACTCTTCTCAAATTGAAGGGCTCGCCACAGGGATGTCGACTGGGTTGTATAATAATAAGTCCTTGTTCGGTGCTCTATATGGGTTTTTATGTAACGGGTTGATGATATAAAAACCTATCAATTCTCAGGTTTTTTCGGGGTGCCCGATGAAGCTCCCAAATTAAAACTACTTCCACCGAGCTTCTCGTGCCCCACTCGAAGCACAAGGGGTGCACCAACGGAGACGTCATCCTGCCGCCAGTTTTTGTGCGAGTGGTATAGGGCTTCAAAGGATGAACCGGTGTGCTGCAAGAGCTTCAATATGGATTCTTCAAAGGTGCGAATGGACCTTATAAGCTAGGCTAGCAGGGTTTACGCTCTCACAACTCGGACTAGCCAGGCGAGGATCCATGAATTCGAGTCGGTGTGATACTAACGCTGAGGGCAGGGTTTAGAGTTTAGAGCTTGGGGCTTCAACTTCGGAGAAAAGCAGCAGCCAGAAATTTGGATTATCACTATTTTCAGGCACAGGAAATGCATGTCTGACTCGGCCATGACCCAAGCTCCAATTTTGTGCTTCTACCCTGAACAAGTGTTGGCATTTTGCGCATGTGTTAGACTCAGAGCCTTCGTCGAACGATTCTGCTATGTAGCTTGCAGCAAGTCGAACAGTGTCCACACAAACAATCGTTGGTGTCGTGTGGCACTATATTCGATAACATGCTTTCGGGAAAGGTTGCAGTGTGCCGAGATGTTGCCTTTTAGGTGCACGCATGACAGGCTGTCTGGCCATCATGAGCAGACGAAGCTGTACTGGCTGGTTACCTGGTGTAGTTGTCGCTTTCGGGGATGCTTGCTGTGCAACTTTCCTTTGCGTAACAGCATGGCCTCCTCGTCATCACAGCATCGCGCATGCCACTTGAGGCTGGGGGTATCGTGAAAGCCAAACGCCTCGCAGAGCTGCTGGCGGTGTCGGGTTGCTTCAGGTGCCAATGTGCCTGTTTTGTATAGTATGCTTCGGCCCGAAAGTACCGGGGAGGTTCTTGCTTGTTAAAGGTTTCTATCACTTTTCGAACGAAAAACATAAGGGTTTGAAAGGGTTTCTCGCATGTGCACCTGGATGATCGGGTTGGGGGAAGGTATTATGATATAGTCGACAGGGAAGGAAGAGGTAGTTCTTCAAACCCAATGTTATCCCTAAGCCCTAAACCCCCAATGTTATGTATTTCCAGCCTCTGGGCGACCTGCAGGTGTAGCAGTAAGCCTAAGTTTGGGTTTAGGGTTTCGGGTTTAAGGTTTAGGGTTAAGTGACGGTGTGGAAAATCGAATCGGCCTGTCGTCGAAAAATGCGTGTATACACGCACGAAACGGTTCTGCATCTCTGCACCTCCATCCATCCTCATCCTACGTGCACTCCTTAAGCTTCGTGGGACCACACATCGCCATACCTGGGTTCGAACTCCTGTTGCGGAACTTCATGTACCTTTCAAGACTGTAGGGATATATTGAAGCAAGATGGTTTCCTGATTCTGGCAGCTTTTGAATGAAGTTCAATCCGGAACACGGACCCTACACACAAACAGCCAGACAGCCAAGCATGCAGGTGGAAGTGAGGAAACCGATAAGCCAATTCCGAATGTCTTTCTCGCAAAAAATTATCGGCTCGTCGTGTAGCCACGCGATCGCCACTCCCAAGACTTGTGGGTGGCCACGCGGACAGAGACACTGCAGCTCCACGGTCAGCAAGAGGCAACACAGTTCATGGCTAAACTTGCAACTGGATACAAGGTCGAGCCAAGCAGGTCTGCCATTCAAACAGGGGAAAAACAAAGAGAAATCGGCCTCCATGAGCCCATGGGCTCATGTCAGCATCCGCTGCTCAGATCTTCTCAGTAGTAGGTTCCGTCATCCTTGCCCTGTGCATCAAGCAGGCCCTTCCAATACCAGGCCTCGTAGGCCTTCCTAAGTCTGGGTCTCGATTTGAAAAGCTTCTGCAGGTGCTTTGGTGTTATTAGCGCGCATCTATGTTCAAGTTATAATATGATAGGCAAACTGACAATGATACAAAAACGACATCGAGCTTCTTGGCATTAGTGTCCACGAGCACCTCGACATCGCCGGTTCCCAGCAAGCCGCCCTGGCGCACCTCGAAGACCAGGAGGTTTTTCTTCTCCACGATCAGACCAGTCAAAGGGCCGATGACGGGCGGGGAGACGCACCAGTCAAGGAGCTCACCTGTTGTCACCTTGAAGGAGGAGCCGTGCAAAGGGCACACGATCACATCACCGATGACATCGGCCCCTTCGCTCATGGGCGTGCCGATGTGGGGGCACAAGTTCCCGACGCAGAAGAGTGCCCCAGCCTCCGTCTTGCCGATCAGCACATCGTTGCCAGCCAGCGTCAGGGCTTTCAGCTGCTTGGGCTGCAGCTCGGATGCCTTCACGCCCGTTTTGATCCAGGCGAGGGAGGGCAGGATCGTCTGCGTGGTGTAGCGCGCTGCGGTCTTGGAGCGTCTCCGGCTGGAGGCCAAACCAACAGCTGCAGCTGTGCCTGAAGCAACCGCGGCCATCTTCACTCCGAAGCTCGTGCCCGACGGCTGTCCTGCCGGCTGGCTGTGCTTCGGGGCGGCGACGGTCTGCACCGCATTGGATGGGGCAAGGAAGGCGACCTCCATGCCGGCACACTTTCGTAGACACAGGACCAAGAACGTTTGAGCCCGAGCTTCCGTCATCGCACGTCATCGTTGTGGGTTCGGCGTGTGGTGCTTTCTGTGCTCGAGACACGAACAGTCTTGAGGACGTCCGGTGAGGTGACGGAGTATGAAAGTACAGTCTTCGCGGCATTGACCCGGGACACCATGAGTTCCTATTCCAGACCGTGATCCAGACGTACCCGACAGCTTACACCATGAGCATGAAAGCTGAAAGCCCGGGAGGAGGTACGATTTGGGGTTTGGTGCTGGACGCTAACACCCCAACTTCACGTAAGCCACAAACTCCAAAGTCTATGATGCACCACTTCAGAAACCGTGAAACCTGAAACTGACCCCATCCAAGAAACAACGAGAACACCTCAAAGCCTTGAAGCCCGACACAAGCTGAAATCACCTAGTATGGCAGATGGAGGGAAAGCCAACGCACCTAGTAACTTAAACTAAGCCCGAGGTCGTATAAACGTAAACCGTGGCTGTGCAGGTAGCCCTGTGCGCAAAGAGCTCAAGAAGTTCTCCGGCCCAAACAAGCTAGTTAATTGGTCATGGAACCCCATGCGTCGATTTGCCCAATGACCTTGCATAGTGACATAGTGTCGAACCAAAGTATAGACGACGTACAGTAAAGTCCATGTAAGCTATATACAGATACATATATGTGTGAGTGTGAGTCCCTACATGCTTACATTGGCTCTTGTCTATGCAGCTGTCAATGGCCGTCAATGCTAAAGCGAACCGATTAAGCCCAAGGCAACCATAAATGACTTTACTTGCCCTTTATTACACCTGGTCTATGCATCTGCCCTAACTACACTAATGACCCTAAACCCCTGTGGGAATTTTGAAAAGGAAGCCCTTATAGTACCACTTTTATAGGTACCATGGAAGGCCTTCAATGCTTCGCCCTCGCCCACTTCGGTGTACGCGAGGACAGCTTCTAGCAGATCTGCGAAAGGAGGTTGGCCAGACTTATTTTGTAGGTTTATCGGGCTATATTGCGGCTAGAGGGCTTACAATCGTGTATAGGGCTTCTGGGGCTATCGAAGATATGATTCAGAGGGTTTACAGGCTTGTTGGGTTTATAGGGCTCGGAGTGTAAGGATGGCTTGGAGTTCGTTCTCTAGCTCTGGGCGGCAGAATCTGCATATATATATATATATACATATATATATATATATATTTTTTTTTTGGGGGGGGGGTATA